AAAAATTTGTGGTTACGGGTCGCCACAACATGAGGCACTGTGTTAAAAGGTCGCGGCATTAGAAAGGTTGAGAACCACTTCTCTAGAGGAAGTTTGTTCCGCCATAAATATTAACGTGCATAAATTTTAAAATATTCAATGACTTTTTCGAGGCTCCAAACATTTTTTAACTGTAGTTTCCCCTTATTTGGAATCGAAGAACTTGCGTCGTATATAATCGACATTAGTGCCAGTGAACTCAGACCTGAACTTGGATTTATTCACGGGTGAAAGAAGGGCAACATTTAAAAAAAAAAAAAAACAATGTTTCAATGCAAAATCTTACGGCAAAGTGTTGAATATTTCGGAAATTTTTCATCTTTTAATAAACACAGTTTGGATAATTCCCTGTTTTTGAATTTCTCTTTTAGAAAATTGTCAGTCTTCAAGTCTATTCATTCCCGCTGCAGATGTATAGAAGTTTTGTTAATATAACATGACATGATGAGGAGATTAAAATAACATTAAACGCTTTAAAATCGCTAAAACAGCTTGGCCATGTGTGTCAGAGGCGTAGCGTGGTGGGAGCAGGGGGGACAGATGTCCCCGGGCGCCAGGTAGTTAGGGGCGCCAAAATGTGCTTTGATATTATTTTATTGATGAAAATAATGGGTTTGAGAGTTGAAAAAAAGAAAAAGGGGCGCTAAAAATGGATCTTGTCCCCGGGCGCGAATTTTGTCCCCGGGCGCCAAACACCCTCGCTACGCCACTGTGTGTGGTGCATATTCTGATCAAAGAGATTGAGTTTTCAATGTTGGAAAGTAAACACATTTTTTTTTTTTACAAAAGTCTGAAGAACAAAAGGATTTTCCCTTAAAAAGATGCGACTTCAGCAAACAACGTTACATTTCAGCTTCAAACTCAGATCAAGCAATTCAGCAGGTTAACCAAAATCACACAGCCATTCCGACTTTTTGTAGTCACAGTTGCAAGCTCGAATGTAACATTTTTCATTTCCAGAAACAACACTGTTTCAAACATTTTATTCCACTCTCTGCAAAATTTTCAAAGACTTAATTAACGTACGTGTGTATGATAGACAGCGGCGATCCTAAAAGGGGGTTTCCCGGACCAGCGGCGGTCTGAGAACCTATACGTTCCGGTACGTCCAGTCTTACTTGCAGCTTAGTTTCTTGAATTTCAAATAAGATTATTAAATACTCAGTCTATGTATTAATTAAAATCCGAATAATGACCGATACGCCTGTGAGCGAATAAATAAGAATGTTCAGATTCCATTTCATCAAGGAAATTACTTCAAAATTTGTGTGATTTATTTGCATCCGTTTTTCATTAGGTTTTTCTTGATGAGAATCCATTAGGCATCTTTTTAATAAAAAGTTTTTGTGAACTAGATTTCCGCTTCTCATGACGATTCAATTTTTATAAAAATTTCTTCTTTTTTAAAAAAAATCTTCAATTTTAAAATAAATTATATGGATTTGGTACAAATATATGTAAAAGTGGATCGAACAGATAATATGTAATGTATGTGAAGAAATGTATCAAGTTAACAGTTTTATATTCCAAATAAACATGTCAATGAACTGATTTTGAGAAATGTAGGCTATACTTGAGTATTTATACTTGATATTTATAAAATTACCCTCGTATAAAATCATGCATTGTAGATTGGAGTGGCATGCGCTGTTCTCCAGTCTGCTGGAACATTTCCTGTGCACAGCGACGAGTGGAAGAGGATTGTCAGTGCAGGAGAGGTTTCTTTGGCTAATTCTTTGAGCACTTGTGGTTTGATGTTGTCAGGGCCCCATGCTTTGTAAGGGTTAATGGTTTTGAGAAGGGCAAGCACACCCTGCTCTGATATCTGGATATCTTCCATGACAGGGTAGGGTCTGCTCATCATTTTGGTCTTCAGATGGAATTTAGCCTCCGAGTACTCTTTACCGTCGCCAAAGACCGACTGGAACTGCTGATTGAGTATGTCAGCTTGTGTTTTTGGGTCTGATGTCAAATGGCCATCCCATCTCAAGGGGGAAACTCCAGCGTTTGAGGACTTTTGGTGTTTCACATAGCTCCAGAAGCGCTTGTTCTTGACATCTTTGGTCGGGGTGTCTTCCTCTGAGAACATGCCGTTCAGGTAGTTCCAATAAGATCTGCGCAATAACCGTTGGATGGTTCGGCGGAGCCTCAGTACCCCCTTGCCATGGGAGTGTTAGGCTAACCCCAAAAATAGGTTATGCAAAAAAAACAAAAAAAAAAAAAAACAGATCCAATTCGTTCAGAAAAAGTTACAATAAGATCTGCGCAATACCCGTTGGATGGTTCGGCGGACCCTCAGTACCCCCTTGCCATGGGAGTGTTAGGCAAACCCAAAAAATAGGTTATGAAAAAAAAAAAAAAAAAAAAAAAACAGTTCCAATTCGTTCAGAAAATCTACATTCTGCTGGTATTTTTAGTATTTTTTAAATAATTGTATATAGCCAATTCTGTTTGCAGCCAATGAGTTCTCAATTACTAAAATACATTCTGTTAATATAAATCTAATATTTATTCCGTTTGAAGTTTTCTATAACTAAAATACATTCTGTTGATATCATAGTTATTCAGAAACATTTAATTTTAATTCAACACCAAACTTTTTAATAAAGTTTTACCACTCGACCAGGGGTTCTCAACCACTTTGGACTTCAGGACCACGTGCATTTTAGAAGCTTTGCTACTGACAAAATCAGATTCGTCCCAAACCTGCGGCTTCAAAATTTTATAATTTATTCAACTGCCGTTTTTATAAATTTTGCCTATATCAAAACTTACGTAGGCCTACCCGTGATTTGCTCGTCTGACTATCTCGTGAGATTGAAGTGGTGAATTGAATTAGCTGCATAATATTATAAACGGATGGGAAACTCTTTGCCGAACTGAGAACCCTGAGACACTGTTTATCTCGCATTAAAAAAATATACATTTAGAGATAATTTTAAAATAAATAAACCAAGACATCTATTAAAAATGTGTTGTAAAAAGGAAAGGTCTGGGTGATATGATTAAAAAAGTAAGAAGTTAACTGTCTAGTTGTATGTTGATATAGTCTATTATAGCATCTTGGTGAGATTTGGTTTCTTACACGTTTTAATAAAATATGCTGAGATATTCATGAAACGTAACTTTCAGATTGTTTGGAGGAAATTTTATCATAGGAGCGAGAAAATGTGGACACTTAGCTAATCATTCAGCCTTGTGCTCAAAATGTAACCAGTGTTCAAATGTCACAGTAAAAGCGCCCTCACGTGAAGCTATCAAATAACCCTCTCTTGCCCCAAGTCCAGTAACCAGATATTTATTATTCCCCCCTTTTCAGTTCTTAGCTGCCATTTTGTCGACAGCGCTGTCTCATTCGACAGAGGAATATCATTTTGTGGCATTTTTGAGAACCACAAGCAAACTGACGTGCTGGTGATGGACTTCGCAAAGGCATTTGACTGTGTCAATCATATAGTTTGCTTCTACACAAACTCCAGATGTATGGGATCCAAGGCACCACTAAAACATGGATTTCTAGCTTCCTCAGCCACCGATGCCAAGTAGTAGTGGTGGACGGTACAAGCTCCTCCTTTGTGAATGTGAAGTCAGAGGTCCCCCAGGGATCAGTCCTGGGCCCCTGTTTGTTCCTAGCATACATAAATGACCTACCCGAGAAACTGACATCCCAAGCAAGACTGTTCGAAGATGACACAGCAGTGTATAGGACGATCGCCAACAGATCTGACCAGCTACAACAGGATCTCAATCGATTAGCTGAGTGGGGGATGAGCTGGGACATGGAATTTCACCCTGCCAAGTGCCAGACACTATCAGTCTCTAGAAATTGTAATCCTCTACACTACCAATACGAACTGCATGGCCATATACTTGAGACCATTCAAAGAGAGGTCCGCTGGGACGAGCATATTAACAATGTATGTAACCAAGCAAACAAGACCCTGGGGTTCTTAAAGCGTAACCTAAAGATTGGCAACTCCTGTGTGAAAGAAAGAGTATATAAATCCTTTGTCCGTCCGGTTTTAGATTATGCATCTTCAGTCTGGGACCCATTTACCCAGAAGAGCATTGATAGGTTGGAGGCGGTCCAGCGACGGGCGACTCATTTGTCCTGAACCGATACAGGAATACCTCTAGTGTTGGCAGTATGCTGGAAACTCTAGGCTGGTCACCATTGGAGGAACAACGAGGACAATCCAGGCTCTCCATGATGTACAAAATAAATAATGGGCTGGTCCACTGTTCCAGTATTAAACAGAAACTCGTCCCTCTCCCCCATAGACAGCGACGAGGCCATGACAGGCAAATCCGGCTCATACCAGCAAGAAGCCAGTATAGGAATTGCTCATTCCTGCCCAAGACAATCAGGGACTGGAACAAGCTTTCAGGAGGAACAGTTGAGGCGACAACACTAGACACATTTGCGTCTATTTCCTCAAGCCTTCCAACCCCCATTGCATGATTCCTTCACAAAGTGGCACTTGTAATCATTGAAATATCCTCATCAGCACCAGGCACAGAAACATTGCAAATCCCCTCTACATGCATAGGAGCCAAAATGATCAATAAATTGATCGTGGGCCCTTAATATATGGAAGAAGAAGAAGGTTGTTTTAAAAAAAGATATTGCAATTAATAAATATATATTATATTTTATGCACATGTGGTGCTTTCTTGTGAAGTGTATATTGTACAATAATCATCAAACTTTATTTGACTTGGATTTTGCCACAGGGTTCAGAATGCTTTTCTGTCAATATGTCAATGTTCTATGCCTTGCACATGAAGTGCAATAATAATTATTTCAAAAATAGACATGGCTTTTTTCAAAAATAGACATGGGCTGTTTGGATGACCAATGTTCTACTGTATGTAAGATCTGATCAGATAAGATTCTTTTATTGAAACAAATAAAAGGAAACATTTTTGACTACATTGCACATATTCATTTTCAACACGTAAACAAACACATAATGTAACCAAGACAACATTTTACAATTAGAACAATTTAAATACAAAACATCTCTAGCGTAAATATCAGCCACCATGTACCAAAAAAAGTCAATGAAATGCTAAATGTTTTACAGCACAAAAAGCAATTGTGATAGGTAAGATTTATAAAGTAATAAAGAAAGGATCATGCCTTTGCTATTGTCATCTAACATCAAATCAATGTTCTAAAGTATTGATGCTTGTAATACTTAAAATTTATAATATTGTATTCATGTTTATTTCATTGGAATTATCATAAATAGTTTACATGTAAATATAGCTTACAATTTTTAAATTTTTACATAAATCGGATTAGGAATGCTTTTAATATCAAAAATTTCATAAGCATATGAATATTTTAAAGCCTTACTGATTAATAGAAAATTAATTTCCAAGAAGAATAAGTTACAACATATCTAATAAAACAAGCATTAACTTGATTTCTGACATGATTTCAATGCATTCACTTTAGACTTTATGCTGTCTTTTCAAATACTTTAAAAAATGTATATGAAATAAAATTCTTCTCAAAAGCTTAAGTAATAAATATTCAGTGCATTATTAAAGACATATGTACAATGTAAAGCAGTGCCCTTCAGTGTTGATCTGCCGATCATCAATGGTCTCTAGGTCTCATTCAATGGTCTCGATAAGGCGAATATTTTAAAGAGAGTTTTTTTTAATTAAAAAAATCAATCAGTGCATTTTTGCAAAATACCCTGCTGCAATGCAAAAAAATTCTTGCGAATCTCCCAGAATGAAAATTTTTATATGCACTTATCTAAAGTATGCATTTCTAAAAATTCATAGATACATCCATTTAGTATATGAATGGATGATGACTTTGATAATCATTTTCACTACTGGTAATGTTTTCTCATTACAAAAAGCCACTGCGATGTTATCACGAATTTCCTGGGGAAAAAAATCATAGATACATTTACTGCACAACTAATCTTTAGTTATAAACATAATCATAATTAACTATAATGAATTATGTTAAAAATATAATAGATAGAAAACAAACTTTAATTTTAATTTGTAGGTTTACAAACAATAATACATTTCCTTATATCTATAACTTTCCTTAAAATTTCAGATGGTATTAGATGTTGGGAAAGTGAAAATAGTTTCTATTTTTAAGACGCTACCAAGTTGTTGTTTTTTGGGGGGGTACAACCTTTTATTTTATTTGTATTGACTTAACAACTACAAATTTTCCCTTTGTTGTTTTGAATTTAAAAAATTTTCCTTTCCTTGGTTGTTCTGATTTTTTAAATAATTTTCTTATGCACAGGTCATTTGTGGATCCTACAAATTTTAAGAAGATTAACATTTTTTGTATGACAATGGTGGGTATTAAAAATTGTAACTGTCCACAAAATAGCGAAATTAGTGACAAACAAGAAGGAAATAGTTAAAACAAACCAACAAATATCATTCAAACTAAGTTAATCATAACAACTTTGTCACATGGCAAATTAAAAATTCTCATTATTTTCATTTTGCTGACGCGAAATAGAAACAAGGATATTCTAGCAGCAAGCTTAAGTTATGATAAAATCAGTACATTCTGAAAAATTTTAAAGCCCTATAAAAAATGATGTAGCCTAAGGCTTTAAAATATGATGTAGCCTGTATTTTGAATTACCATTTGTCACAGAAATATTTAAATATAGAAAGAGTTTTAAAAAGCATGCTGTTCCACTTACTTCATAAAGGCAATGAAGAATGTTCAAGAGTATAACTGCCGCAGTCTCTCATTCAATTCTTTTTCTCTTTTTATCAACTCACTCGAATGTTTCTTGAAAGCTTCATAGTCCTTAGAATTATTTGAAAAAACATTCTTGTAAAATATCAAAATACATATTTAGGCCACTTAAATTTGCTCCTTATTAACATGGTTTAAATTCAAATTTAAAATAATGCTTGACATTTTATGTCATTATTTTAGTCTAAGTTCACTTTATATAATCAGTTGTGCACTTAAATATTTTGAAAAGGAAAATCTATTTCAAACTTTAATTTTTAACACAAAAAATATTTATAATTTTATTTCTATATGAAAAGTTGTTTTTTCTGCATCTGTATCCAAACTTCAAGCAAAGGTCAGGCAGGATGACATTTCCCTCATATTTTCTTCGCTTATACATTTTTCACCAAGTTAATATTATAAACATATTTGTAATTGATTAAGTACAAAATAAATCAACCACTATTTGAAATGCATTGGCCTATATAATGTATATTATTATGATAAAGTTTAAGAATAGCTTTTAATTATAATACAATTTTATTTGTTTTAATTTATCAAGTAGGCCAAATAATAGTATAATTATCATAACTATGAAAATTCAACTGTGAAGAAATTTTTAAAAAAAGCAAAAAAATCATATGTAACCCAACATGTGAGTGTCCATAAATAGAACAAAACATGGATCCTTGCATGCAAAAAATGTGAGACTAGCTTGAGCAAGTGAACAAAGACTTTGTTATTTAACATTAATATGTTACATACCTAATTATAGCTGTACTTTTCAGTAACAACATATGAGATTAAATGTGATAAAATTATGACGATGAGGCTAAAAATGTCTTTTGGATTTCCATAAATGTTAAGCTTATTGATATCCTAAGCTGTAGCAAATGTATAAAAATACATTATTTTAAAAAAACAACATTAGGCCTAGAGTCTATATAAATTTTAAAAAATAATTAATCTTTTCTTTAAAAGTAATATCAAATGCTTCATTGGCTGCATTTTTTTAAATCACTATATTAAGAATAATTTTAAAAATGCATATGCAGTTACGAAAATCAGCTTGCACATGACAACTACATTAAAAGAATATTTCTACATTTTCACAATTTATTTTCCATTCATTTTTTAAAAAAAACTCCCTCTCTTTTTGACTCACAATTTTTAAAAAAAATATGTAATTATATTCTCTAATTCTGGACTATCAGTACAAAAAAACTAAATGTTCTTATTCTGGAATAAAATGGAGAGAAAAAATATTTCTAAAAATCAAGTAATCTAAATAAAATTTCCTTAAGCCAAGAACAATCACAATTTAAAAATCAATTTAAATCATGAATGTTGGTAATAACTTTTCAGAATCACAAAAGTCTTACTTAAGATGGACTTTTTTCTATTCCCATATACTAGTAAAATAATCTAATATTTAACTGTAATTATAAAATGAAGAAAGTACCTTCACCATTTGTGAGTATTTACTATCAGCTCCTTCCAGCTCTTCAGAAAGTCTTTTCACTTTCAAATTTGCATTGACTGCCTCTGCTTCCCGACTTAAATATAATAAATTTAAATTAAGAGCAAGATTTCATGAAATTATTTTAAAATTTTTAGAAAATGTTTGCTTTTAATCAAGGTAGTATAATAATTAATTTACGACAAAAGAAAAATAATGCTTTATGGTTGAATAAATTGCCACTTAAAGGTGGTTTTCTTTCAAATAAACAGACTTAAATTCTGATGTTACATTTCTTAGGAAAAAAATATGGTAACTATTACTTGAACTTTTCTTCCAAGCTCTTTACAACTTTTTCTAGTCCTTCCACTTTCTTTTTCAAAGCCTTATTTTCATCTTGTTCTTTCTGCAGATAAAACAGAATAGTTGTGCTATTTATATCACTCAACTGAAGATAGATACCGATAGATATAACACAATATCACTTTTATGAAGTCTAACTTATTCAAATTAATCCCGAAAAATGGATGGGTGCAGAGCTTTCTCATATATTTAAATTTAGTGACCCAAAGTTGTGAAGTAGAAAAAAATTAAATTATCAACTTTGAATGCAAGCTGCACAAAAACAAAAAGTGGCAGAATCCCTCAAAAGTCACACGATGGCTCTAGATGGGTGACAATACTAAAACAACTTGATACATTTCTTGTTTCTATTCTAGTTAAGATTAACAACAAAATTCACCTGTATTAATTTTCCTCTTTGCATTATAAGGGAAAGAAGCTCTTCCTTTTCCTTGCTGAATTGCTGTAGTTTAACTGAAGTTTCACCTTGAAGACTTTGATTGCCATCTAGCTGCATCTGTAATTTCTGTGATGTGTCTATGAAAAATTAATAAATATTCTTTACAATTGATTCTCTAGGCTCTAAGTATCTTTCAGACTTAAAATAACATATAGTTTTTACTTATAAATTTTTGTATCATATTTGATCCATTAACATTACATTTAAATCCTTTCATTTTTATGCAAGGCTCATTCAATATTGGCCATCTATTTATAGATAAACAATTTCAAGATAGTCCAATAGGTAAGCTACCCCCCACACTTTTTAAAGTACAATTTTTGTTAAGCAGGCCTTAAGTCATGTTTTAAATACCTTTGAGTTTCTCTTCTGTTGATCTAAGCAGACTTTGAAGATCTTTAATTTGTTGGCTATTGATAGTCTGGTGCTCTGAAATTTCTTTCCGTAGAGAAACCTCTTTTGCCCGCCACTCAACTTGATATTGCCTAATTTTTTTTTACAAATTCAGTCAGATTAAGTTATTTATCTATGAAGCTTATCAATGATATCAATGCTTTTGAAACATATAGCAGATAAGTACTTCTCAAAAGTTAATGATGTTAGAAACGTAAATATCATTACATAGCTACTTCTTTTTAAAGTTAGAAATCGTGATGAGTTTTGCAATAGAAGGAAGAAATTATCGCAAAGAACCTACCATTATTATCCCGATGACATTGGGTCATTTATTCTAGTAGTGTAATATGTACATACCTTAATTGTTGTTCTAACGTGATACATTGTTCTTGAAACGAAGTGCACTTCTTTTCTAGTTCATAAATTCTGTTGTCTTTTTCAGCAATGGAATTTGAAAACAGTCTTCCATTCTCATCCTTAAGCCTAGAATTTTCCTCTCTCAGTTCCTGATTAACACGTTTATACTCATCTTTAATTCGTATCATCTCCTCATGATTTGAAGCCAAATTATTAAAGCGCCCATCTAAAATATCAAATTTCTTTATTTCTGATTTTAGCATTGTCTCAGCCTGAAATTTAGTATAAATAGAGCATCATAAATTTTCTGAATAAAAATATAAAATGTAATTAAGATCTGATAAATTTGATACTTGAGGTTTTTAATCTCAAGATAAATTGCTTGTCTGTAAGAACGACAATATAAACTTTATATTAATTGCAACCCATTTATGAACTTTATTACAAATTATAGTAAAGAAGCAAAGTTTTAGTATGAAATGTGACATTATTGTTTTTTATCAAAACATCAAAATACAGTAGGATACTGATCAAAATACACCTAACACAATCATTTTTATTAGAAATTTCAATATTTCCTTATTTAAACAACTTGATTTTGATATGAGCCATAAAAAACTAGCCCCAAAAAAAAAAAAGATCATCATTAAACTAACCAAATGTTTATTTTTTAAGATAATAACAATACAAACTTTATCTCTAAAATCCAAAAGTTCTTTATTGATTTTCTCTAGTGTCTGTATTCTGATAGTTCCATCATCAGCTCTTTGTTTGAGTATCATTATTAACTGACACTGCTCATCAATTCTTGAGCGTAACTTGGAATTTTCTAATTTATCATCTTCTGACAGTGCCTTTAGTTTACCTAAATTTTCTTGCATTTCATCCATGTCCTGTATTAAAATCAAATTTCTGATATCAAATTATTATTATTTTTAAAATCTGAAATAAAATCTTCTCTGATTAACTGGCTAAATATATTATTTCCATTATTTAAATTAATATTTTGCCCAGAAATGAAAGTCAGTCTGGAAATGTTCTATTAATTTCAAAATATAATATTTTTTTACTTCATGGTATGTTTCTAAAACATGACATAAAAGTTGTATTTAAATAAAAAATGAATATCATGATAAAATGGTCAAGTCTGTGATAAAATGTTTGATTACTAAAAATTCTAATTATATTACTTTTCAAAAAAAAAATATTACAACAGAACTTACCAAAGAACTAGCTGATACCATACTCCTTAGGTCTTTTGGATTTCTCAAACTCTGTGATGCCATTTTCAATTCTAAACTGCTTTTATTACCAAGTTTCTAAATTTGATCTTACAGTCTATGCCAAGTAGAAATACATTGGCAGCTTAGGCCAACTATAAAGTCATTGGAGGATTTAACTGTATAATAATTTAAGGAAAGTCCTACATCCACCTGTAATAAACATGGAGAGATTACCAAATTTATCATGCTGTCTTTTACCATGCTAATAAATAGTAAGTAGTTATTCTGTTACTTCTGTTGTGAATTAGTGCATCACTTAATTCCAATGATATTGTTTTCTGCCTTCCAAACAAGAGATATTAGGTTGGAATCCCCAGCTATATGCATTAACCATATTAAGTGAAGTCATTAGTCATCTAAGGTAGTTTTTCTGGTGTGGGGGAGGTAAATTCTGAGTAAAAACATCAACCCCAGTAGTAAGAAGACAGCACCTGAATTGGCAGGGGAATAACATTCAGTTGTCTAATAGACATACAAGATTTTAGAAAATGCTTCTATGACTATAATACTGCCTACTAAAGCTACAGTTATAGAAGAATGAAACAACCTCTAAAAACAAAGTTTTACGTGAAAATCTTTTAAAAAGTTAATATTGAGCAATGTGGTGGGGGGAGGGGGCCGCTGAAAATTTACAAAATGTGCATACAAGTAACATACTTAATTTTTTTCAAGCCCCTGAACTAAATTAATATTCTAATAACCCACCCACTGTTCCAACGCAGATTTATTTCACCAACTATTTCAGAAATACAAAAGAAAATATTACGCACCAATGCACCTGCGATATTATTTTTTTTAAATCTCATTTACTGCAGTTATCTGGAATTTAATTTCATGAAATCAGTGCCATCATATTTCCATCAACTTCCCCTTGAAAAACAGGACAAACTGATTTTTAGGGGTTGGGGGTGGGGCTGAAAATTTACTTGAATGTGTTGTCATCAGCCAAGAGTCTATGTGCCCAGTTTCAGTTCGATGGATTGTTAATACAAAGGATTTAAAAAAGACAACATTCAGTGATATTAGCAAAAGTAGGCATAATCAGAATAGAGATAGTTCTGATAGACAAGTCAACATTATTAATGATAGTCTCTTAAAAGTTCTAAAATGATTGATTGCTGAACTGATGAGTCAATTGGCATAGAAAGAGAGAGGGGGCGTTGTTTTATCATTCAAGTGCTAGACCAACATGCCATCACATTACAGGAATACTTAGAAATATATTGCAGGTTCACGAATTGCATGGGATGGATGGACAGCTTAAGCAAATATATACTAGATAAGACACGGAATTAATGAATACTCCTTTGTAGTCCATCAACAAAATTTTGTTGATCCAAATGAAGCTGGTGTCCACACACAGGATGTTCAAAACATATGGATGCATGCAAAGTGCAAATTAAAAAGACAGTTTGGCACAAGCCGAAATTTTTTCTCTTCCTATTTGTATGAGTTCATGTTCCACAACCATTTTCATGAAGATGATATTTTTAAAAACTTCATTGTTACCTTGGGGGGAGAACTATGCATAATCTCAAACTCTTTTGTCTTTTCATTTATAAATTGGTTAAATTTGCCACAAAATTTTTTTTTAAATTTTTTTAATTTTTATATTTTAAAAATGTTGTCTTGGGTTATTTATATATGTGCTAAAATGAATATGTACAAGTACAATGTCATGTCATAAAAAAACTTTTCGATCTATTGATTGAGACCAATAAAATAATTTTATCTATCAATAAAATATACATGTTTAGATTTCTTTTGCTGCCCACGGATACTAAGCTAAGTGCTATATCTTATTTTTATTTTTATACCGTTTTTTCTTTTGTTTTGTCCGCTGAAGAAAGCTTTCTGCCAAAATGTTCGTTGTTTTGTTGCGGTTTTTTTTTCAGGTTTAACCCACTCTGTTTTACTCATTTTATATCATGTTTAGATAGCACTTCAAACAGGAACAACAGGATTTTTTTCATAACCGATGCTTACCACTTACTTAAAATTTTAGGCTTTACTTAGTTTCTTTCTTACTAAACTTAGTTAAGTTTACAACTTGAGGCACTTGACTCCAAATTTGAGACTTGAATGTGAGCATAACATGACATAGTATAGTGTATATAATAATATAGTATAGTACAATAAAGTAATCCCTTACCATAATATAGTATATAATATAATTTATAATATATAATATAATAATAAGTCATTCTTCATAGCCCCATAATTTCTCATAACTTATGTCACAGTTAGCCCATATTGCTTTGGTCTCAGTCTTTGTTCTATGTCCAGATTACTTTATGGCCAGCTGTGGCTGTTAATTATGTAAGTGAGAGATAACATAACATTTCTTTAATAGCGGGTACTCCTTAGAACAGCGGTGCCAAATTAAAAATTAGAATACTATTCATTAGAAAGTGTCCTGCTACGAGCCTAATATCGGCTGATAATTGAAGACGTATTAGTATTTGCTTAATGCTCTTCTTAAATTTATTTTATTTTTTTCGTATCTCGATCTTCATAAGCCTCTTCATCATCATCATGTCTTGAAAGAAAAAAAAATTTTTGGTAAATGTTGAGCGCGGATGCCATGATTGTCCGCCATCTTGGTTGAGAAGACCAGTGAGTTAATTCTGTCACTATATCTAAGTAAATGTGTCCCTAAGCCTAAACCTAACCTAAACCCTAAATGTATCTGTAAACCTAACCTGAACCCTAATTCACGGCAACTTTAATAAACACCTAAAAGACGTCGTGGCATCCACAACTAGCCTTTTAACTAGCATTATTTATTATTAGTATTATTAGCCCTTTTTTTTTTTTTTTTTTTTTTGCCACACTTACTAAACCATACCCATGCAGTGCCTTCGGCGTTTTGTTTTAAGTTTTTAGAATGTTTCCTAACAAAACATTATTTGAAATAATTTTAACTTGTCTTATTTATTATTACTATTATTACCTCTTTTTTTTTTTTTTTTTGTATTGCCACACTTACTAAACCATACCCATGCAGTGCCTTCGGCGTTTTGTCATAAGTTTGTAGAATGTTTCCTAACAAAACATTATTTGAAATATGGTGTTGTTTATTTTATATTATTACAAGCAATAATTAGTCTGCAAACAATATTTGAAGTAAAAAATTATAATTATGTCACCAATTTAATTATCAGCGGCTAATTTGGCTGGTAGCCGAAAACTAAAACTAAAGACTTTCTAACGAAAAGTATTTACCTTTTAGGCTAAATCTAGGATAATTTTTAATTTGGTACCGCCGTTCTGAGGAGTGCCAAATAGTGAAAATTGATGTCGCGAGAAGGTAACGTTTATGTTAATAAATGTTATTAAAGTAAAAGAAATACTATCGTTTAGGTTATATATGGTTGTGAATGAAAACAAACCCAATGCGGAACTACAAATAAATTTTACTCTGAATAAAAAGAGGTACACTTTTTTCAATCTGTAAATAGTGATTAAAAGTCCATTTCTTCAATCCGTGAACAGTGAACTGTGAACACCTACCTCTACTGTTGTAACTTTTAATTGAACGAGACGTTAAGATTTATATCAATTCAGTTGGATATATTCTGCGCTATTATCATCAACTAAGACATTTATAATATCATCAGCGCAATGCCGACGGGGAAAAAATGTGTTATTGTAACTGGTAGGCATGTGTTTCACATCTGTCTTTAAATTTAAATCAAAATAATCAAATCAATGATTTCAATGAATTTGAATGAAATGCCTTTTCTGAGGCATTCTGATTCGGACTCACTGAACTTCACTTAACAATTTTTGGAGCCCCATTTTTTAGTTAATTATTATTACGAATTATGTCTTAAAATTATCAAGTTATCTGTTATGGCCATGAGTAATTATTGAAAATGAATGAGTTATTTGGTCAATTTTAGTTTGGGTCATGACTTATGAGAAGACACTTAAAATTAAAAATTAAGAGTTAAGAATAGTTAATTAAGATTAAGACAGACAGTTAAGTTCACTTTTTTTAATACTTTATTAAACTTGGCTTCACCTTACTTAATCATAAAGATGACTTAATTTTTTTTTAAGTTTTAGAAATTAGTTAGAGTTAGTTAGACTTAGACACTTGTGCCATACAAACACTGCATTTTAAAACTTAATGCTCAATCAATACTGACTGAGAGTGAGGTTAGTTTAAGTTTTAAAAAACAACAAAATGCTGGCCAAATAGCCTCTGTCTCTGTACCATAGCCTCGTTTTTATATTATAACAAATTAACCACCTAATGAAATACTGTACCAATTCCATCAATCAAAAACATTCCAATCAGCATATTAATATTAAAAAGAAAAGCTAACTCTCTCGAATAAACAAAGTAGAGAGAATCCTACTTAGAAACTCAAAGTGGCTTGGATTGCATAAATTAACCAATACAACAACTGGCTGTCAAGCAGTGAATCAAGCACCTTCCATGGACACTTCCCTTACCTGCGGCATGCCACAGTGCCCACAGGGCTCAGTTTTAGGACCTATCCTGTTCTCCATGTACACTAGCCAGCTTGGCTGAATTATTGAAAGTCATGGTGTATCCTGCAAATTATTTGCGGATGACACAGAACTGTACAAGTGTTTCTGTCTGATCATTTGGACTGTGCTGCTGCTGTACTGGATGTCGATGACTGCTTGCTTGTGGTGAAATCATGGATGGCATCAAACAGACTTCAATTAAATGATGATAAGACAGAGGCAATTATGTGGTTCTGATGCCAATCTTGGGAAGGTTCCTATCGCATAAATAAAAGTTGGTGTTTCTGAGATACCCTTGTCCAACCAAGACTGTTAGAGACCTTGGCTTCTACACTGACAGTAAACTTACAATGATCCCTCATATCAGTTCTGGGGTCAGGGCTTGTTTCTGTCATCTATGTGCCCTGAGTCAGCTGCATCCTCAACTTAAAAAGTGAACTGCCAATGCCAAAGCAGTAACTCTAATCCAATCGAGATTATGTTACTGTAATAGTTGTTTGTGGGGTAACCTCAAAACCAAAGTCAGAGACGCTGATGGTACAAAATACTGCAGCACTCACTGTATCACATATAACGAAATCTAACCACATCACCCCAGTTCTTAAAGATCTCCACTGGCTTCCTGTGAGTGAGCACATTGACCACAAAATTATGTCCCTGGCGTACAGCTATATAGAAGGCTCTGCATCTGAATATCTTCAAAAACTGATTTCTAAACATGTATCCCTTACAGAAATTGCACTCTTCAACACAGTCCTTAATGAGGGTTCCCAGTGTGGATGGACACACGAAGAAGTCATACAGAGTGCTTTCTTTTGAAACTATTGGGCCTAAATTAAGTAAAAGTTTGCCTTAATCTTTAAGGGAAATTGAAAATGATAAAAAAAACAATCATTTAAGAAACATTTAAAGGCTTTTTTTCTTAAAAAAGGCTTTAGGATATCTGAGCGCTGTGAGCATGCTAAAATAGCATGGACACAAGCACTATTAAAGTATTCTTTCATCATCAACAACTCTGCTTGCGTGTGTGTCATTGGACTAGTTGACAAGTTAGATTGTAGTTTGGCTGTGCCTATTCTTGCTAGAGCATCTGCTCACTCATTGCACATTCTCTGTAATGCCTATGACTATGTGGTTTCAATTTTAGAATATTTTAAAATTGTTAGTTAAAATCATGATATTTTCCCTCTAAATGGTAAAAGCAGCATGATACTTTTTGAATTTTTAATTATCTTTGCTATGGGACCTCACATGCTCTCAAGACATAGTATTGATCATAAAAAATACTAAGTTTTATACCATAGTAACATCAATAAATCTGTTACTAACTTAACTCAAAGACTCAGAGCACTCTACAAATATTTTGATTGACAAAAGTTTTTCAGTGCCTTTTTACTATCCATTTTTACTCCCACTACCCCTTTACTTTCCTGAATCCACCCAACCCCCCAAATGACCATGAGGCCATAAAAAATATTTCAAAAATTAAATTAACTTTTTTTTTTACAGGATTTGGCCCATTTAAAGGTCATCAAGTAAATTCCAGTTGGATGTCTGTCAAAGAGCTTTCTAAGATGGGGCTAGGTGATGACCAGGTGGAACTTTTTGTCTTTGAAATTCCAGTAATTTATGAAGAAGTAAAAAAGATTATTCCTGAACTGTGGGAGAAATACAAGCCTGTGGTATGTTTGAAGTTAAAGCTTATGTCTTTTGTACTTGTCACACGTAAACATAAAAGTTCATGTATTTTATAAAACAGTCTATAATACAACTGTACAAAAAAAAAAGGAAATTTTTAACAGAAATAGCCTTGTCACCATATCTGGCAATACAACAATAATTTTCAAGTATTCAAATAAAAAGAAATTGTATTACGACAATAATTTTTTCAAATAGGCCGCATCCATTCGCTGGTAAGTTTCGCTGATAGCTAGAATTATAACAGTAATTACTTATTTGAAAATAAGGGACTAACTACTTTTAATTCATATTTTAATTCATGAATATCTTTCTTTATAGACCATGTCTAAATTAATAATTATTTCATCTGATTCTGACAGAAGTTAAGTTAAGTAGTTATTCTTATATTTCCATTCTTATTAAATTTTGAAAAATTTATCTTAACTATACAGCATCTCCTATTCTTTCAGCATTTTAACTTTTAGAAAGATGAATTCTCTTTTTTTTTATGTAGCATTAAGCTGATATTAACTTTGCTCAATCTTTACTCTGACAGCTTATGGTGCATGTTGGTGTGTCTGGGGTAGCCAACGAACTGACATTAGAGCAGCGAGCACACAATGATGGTTACAATAGAGATGATGTGGAAGGATTAGTGCCACCCAGTCAGATGTGTGTGGATAACTGCTGTGAAAATGTACTCATCTCTGGAATTGATATGTCTTTGGTCTGCCAGGAAGTCAATGAAGCTGATCAAAAGGTCAGCTCGGTGGTTTCACAGGACCCAGGAAGGTAAGACCTTCATGGTCGGGTTATATAGCTAGAAATATCAAATCTATCTACTACTTTTCAGATTACACATGCTTGTTGAAATAATTACATACTGGTTCTAAGTCAAGAATGCAAGGCTGCTGGTGCCCAGCATTCATACAGTTTGTAATCAATTTAAACCCTGGGAAAAAAATAGCATGGCTAATGGTTACCATTTTTTTAAAAAAAGAGGGAATATCAAAACTGTTAGAACTACAGAGCTGTTAGATGGAAAATTATTTTCAGACGTAATTATATATTATTGCAAATATGGCGGCTCACCTTTCATGGTTTCACAGTATCACAGCTTTTTTAAATATACCCATATAGAATTGTATATATTTTGTTAAAATTACTAAGGCTTAAGAGTGTAAAAAGTGTTAAAGATCATAGGAAATGTTTATAAGAGTGTAATAAAGGTTAGTAACAGCATGATAAGGTTCTTCTTCTTCTTTATTTTGAGGGCCCACGATCAATGAATTGATCATTCTGGCTCCTAGGTTTAAAAGAGTGTGGGGAGGGTTTATAAAGCCTTAATATGTATATAAATTAAAAATTAAATATAAGGATTTTTGCCTTTTGTGGGGTGTTCTGGAACCCCCCCCCCCCCCCCCCCCCACCCACCCCATAAACAAGGGACCACTGTAGACCAACCCCACCCCACCACAATTCAACCTCCAGCCCAACCTCACCTTCACCCCAATGTCACCTCCATCCACCTCCATCCCAATCTCCACAACCCCCTCTATCCTCACCTCCACCCCACCCACCCCATAAACAAGGGACCACTGTAGATTGGACTTAACTTTTGGTGAATTGATTATTTGCTCTCAAATTTATTGATCTGGCAACTTCTGAATAGATTGAAAAATCTTCACTGTACTTTAATGATTCACCATAAATTTTCATATAATCTTTTACAATATTGCAGGTATCTCTGCGATTTCACTTATTTCCAGTCCCTACACATCAACCAAAATTGCACAGCGTTCATTCACGTTCCCCCTCTTAGTGGTCGATACAATGCCTTTGAATTGGCTGAAGGACTTCAAGTAGCTATTCGTGCAATGCTAAAACAAGTTAATCTATAATGGTATTGGTATGGTTATTTTCGTTCATAATCTTATTTATTTGGAACTTGAGACCAAATTTATTATATTTCTTTTTTTAGATATGGAAGGATGTAAAAAAAAAATGTCTTGTGATTTCAGTTTGCTTCTTTTTTTTAAAATTAACTAATAATTACATTCTTTAAAAATTGTTTGTTGTATTTTTTTGTTTGTACTTGTAAACTACAAAAGGTATTAAGCAGCTAATTCAATAAACTTCTTATCATAATGTATCCAGAAATAAAACACTGATCTTTTTTTGATGGCACCATTCACGCATACTTCACATTGTAACTGTTGAAACTGTTTCTAAGGAACCATTGTACATTTCTAGTAAACACGTGTCCAAGGACTTTCCATTATTTCTTATTGTTCATCATTGTTTAGAGGTCTCTGGTTACTCATGAAACAAGCTCAGACAAAATCTTAGTTTGTAATTCTTGGTCTTTGAAAACGATTATTCATTGGTGCATTTTTGTTGAACCCTCTATAAATTTTGTTCTTTAAATCAAATGATTATTAAAACTAATGATGTGGTCAACAGAGCTGCCGGTTGTTAAATGCTGAAAAAAAAACTAACAAGTTAGTGGGAAATGCCAGGCACATGACCTCAATTTTTTTGTATCATTGTAACCAGACATTTTTCAACTCTCCAGTTGTCACCTTTAGGTACATGGTCTATTAATAAAAACATTGGGCACTGGTATTGTATGGTCTTTTAATCTATTGACATCTATCCAGCTGACCAGTTAATTTGACCCTAATATTACTTAAATGTTAAAAGACTTAATTTATTTCTGATAGTAAGCCTCAATCCCTTCAGATTTCCATCCAAAGCATAATAAAATCACCTTGCAGCTGTAGAATTATTTTCTTCTCTTCGACGTTGAAAATAAATTATGTTAAAATTTTAAATTATATAAAATCCTGCTGTACATTTATTGTTTTTCACATATTTTTATGGATCTTAAGTTAATTTTGACAAAATGTATGTTGCAAGGCATTTTTTATTGGGCTGACTCTTTGGAATATTTAGACCCCATTAAAGAAAGGGTACCAAACATTCCTCTATTTACAAACGTTGGATGTTAGTATATTTAATATCATGTAAAACCTTTATCCCATACTGAATCATGACCTGTGATATTGTATTATACATCCTTATACATATACTCCTGCTTAATGTCTTTGTTCTAATCAAAATAGTAGGAACCTTTACAAAGAACACAAGGGTAAGTTGATTTTTGTTCTTTGTAAAGTTATTACAAAGTCTGTTTATATTTAGTCATACAAGTAATTAGCACCAAGCAGAAAAGATAAAAAATAAAACGCCACCTGATCAGTGAGAGCCATTAAAAACTGATATAACTAAACACATTTTTTGGAGGTGGGGAGATAAAAGTGCAAAGTTTATATTTTTTTGATAGTCAAATTATCTATTTGCACACAAAACTATATATATATATATATATATATATTTATTTATACAGTGGAATGTTGGATAACTAATGTAATCCATTCCGTGACTCTGTTCTTAAACTTCAAAGTGCACTAATTAAAATACATTTTCCTATTGGTGTCAATGTAATTCAATTAGTCTTTTCCAGCATCGGAGGTATGAAAATAGGCAATTTAAAGTATCCTTAATTATGGACATGTATATCACTATCTCAACCAGATGATTTTCATTTATCCAAACTAACAACAGTTCAGCCATAATGAGGGCTACAATAACACAGTGTAGTGTTTTAGAACATGGCACTGAGACAAACAATGTTTACTTCAAACGCTCCAACGTACTACTGAGCAGATGGGATTGTGCGTACAGGCGTATGCATATTTTCATACACTGAAGTATCATCAGACCTGTTTACCCTCAAACTCTTAAAATCGTACAATATCATCACAAAATCGTTCTATACCTTAGATTTATAGTAAAAAATAAACATGCAGTATATATAATGTTTACACCTCAAAATCGTACATTGTACGCCAAAATCGTAAGAGTAAACAGGTCTGTATCATTCATTAACCGAGAGCAAAATTTTGTTCACAAAACTTGTTCGTTAAGCGATTTTTTCATTATCCAAGATTCCACTGTATATTGAAAGAGAGCCGTTGGAACTGCTCCCCTTCTACCTGAATCTTCCACTGGCTCCATATATTATGGTCTCTTAAAAAATAAAATGTATTTAGAAATCTTAAAAGTATAAAGTTTTGTGGTACTTAAAGAATTAACTGAATTTAGTGGCTCATTTGAATATAGTGACTCAGATATTTGTTTTTACAGTACAGTATGCCTCTCAAATAGTGGTTAGCAAAGGCTTGACAATAAATAGTCCGGGGCATTAATACATAGTTAAGGATACTTTATCCTGAGATAAAATGAGATAAGACCCTTTTCTTACTTATGAAGTAGATCTTAAATTCCAAGTGTATTTTATCATGTCAATATATAGTTTGCCTGATCAAGACAACCATTTTATCGCAGTAACAATTATGAAATCCATACTGTTAAGGATAGTTAGAAGAAAATAGTGATGACTCTTTTTACCCTCATAGCTGTTTACTATGTAGTGCCAAATTTTAAATAAAAAATAGACTTGTGTTGATTAAGGTTTCTCATTTCCCAGGATTCTCCTTATTTTAATTTAATTTAAAATATTATACTGAATTAAACTTTAGAAAATTAATTTGTATAGATGTTTAATTGTTGTCTATTTATGAATAAAAAACAATGTTACGGTTATTTGAGAGATTGGTCACTTGCTGCTAGGTGCTTCAATTTCCACTGCTTATCCTTAGCAATGGACAAATAGTTAATAATATGCTTGTAAAGCAAAATGTGATATAACAGCTTATAGAAAAAAAAAAACATTGTTTGAGCTTTGCATCTTTACTGGACGCTAATTCTAGTTACCATTCCAACAGTAGATATTTACAAGCAAATATGTCTAACAACTTGCAACAAGGGGTTAGTTTCAGATAAAAAACAATTAGGAATGTTAATAAATGTATCTTTATGTGAATGTGTTTTACAATGTTGATTTTCGAAGCAAAAAAAAAACAAACTATGTTATATAAAGGCAGTTTGACACATTAATATTTTAGGATAATCAAGTTACTAGAGCACAGGTTTCAGCCCATGGGAGGTGACCTCAAATGGGATTGCAAAGGATTTATGTGGGGTCACCAGCTGAAACAGTAGACTAAGAGAAATAGCAATTTTAAATACATGTAGTTTTTCTTTTTTATTTTGTCCTACATTTTAAGTTATAATTTCACTCATGACATTAAAAATGTCACAAATTACCTTATATTGGAAATTTAAGTTTTAAAATGTTACCCTTTCCAATATTTTACGCTGCTAAAAGTCACTTTTTCCAATATAGCATGGCACTTTGCTTCAATATGCATGTGGTCATGACTTAAAAACGCTTAAGAAGCTGCTTACTGAAGCTATTTAGCTTAGTAATTCAGTGCAGTTAACTAGATTTAACTTCTTGACTTATAGGGACAATACGTGACAAACTGTAACTGGATGAAATGGAGAAAAAAAACAAGAAAATTTTATAACTGTATATGGCATTTTCTGGGATGGGAAAATTTCCCAGGAATTCTGTTTACTAAAAAATCATGTGGGATCCCTAGATCCTGGGTAATCATTGATGGACTGCATTCAAGTTGTGTAAATGAAATATAAGAACAAGGTATTTTAAACTTGAATTAATAGACAGGACAAAATTTTGGACGTTTCGGCTCAGATCCTGGGAGAGAAACCCTAGTCATGATGTATGCATTTACTGCAAATACTTTGCTCCTAATGATTAAAACCTTGTATTTTTTTGCTAAAGTCAGGACAAAAGCAATAGCTGTACCCAAGGTATTTTAAGCTGTGATGATAAATGTCCTTATATATTTTTTGGTTAGCTTGAACAGATATTATTTATGATATTATGGTTTGACCACTTAATAATTTGCTCCTTTTTTATTCTCTAGTTATAAAACTATTTTGTATTAAGGAAATTTTAGCAAAATGTACTGCTCTGTACTGTACACATATCAGTATTTCGGGTAATAAGTACTGTCTCATTTGCACCTATTTTACTCAGAAGAGTGCATTAGATTCTATTGTCTATTTGAAACTGTTGGACCATTCATTTTTTTTTAAGTTGTAGCTGAAATTAATTAGGTTAAATTTTGAGTTTTAACCACCCAAAATATTTATCTACTACTGAATGTTCAGCTGATGTCTTTCACCAGTCATTATTGGTAAAGTGGTTTGATGGAAATTTTAGTCAAATGTCTATTTTGTTGTTTGATACCAAAGTACTAAGGTTACATATTAATCATTTCCAATACATTATGGTAAATTTATAAAGTTTTAAAAAAAATTCTTGATCAAATCTAAATTTGAAATCTCTTGCCTAACTGAAACTGCAGGGAATAGTTAAGAATTTGTCAACAATGTATGTACTACAAATAAGGATATTATTTTATCTGGTCTGGTAAGAGCTCTTGTGTCATAAGTCCCAGATTTAGTGAGTGTGTTAATGCAATGTAATATGTCATCAAGATTACATATCCTCCTTACATTAATCCTTGAAATTAATCATTAATTTTTTTTCTACTGTCATAAAAACAGAATTTGTATGTCATAATGTTAAAATGTAAAAGCGATTTCTTTAATGTATAGATCTTATTGATAATTTTTGTCTTTTAAGGATGCAACATGCTTTTTTTTTTTTCAGAATGTAAATTAAAAATATTTTTGTGTGAACTTTAACCTGTAATTTTGAGTAGTGAAATTGAAGGCAATGTCAATACAACATATGATAAAGCAATAAAAAGATATATTTTTTTAATGGCGTTAACAAGAATACATATCTATAAATGTTTCCCCAAATTAAATTTTGCTGCAGGCTATTTTCCATTATGTAATAATAATAAACTTTTAACAATTTATTTAAACTTCATAAATATTACCCCATTGTTTGTACATGAAATATCCTTATTAAAAAAACTAGGTTCTGTTTCTAGAAAATATATTTTAAAAATATTCAGTCATTCAGAGTTTAAGTGCTGGCTAGAGAATTTATGTGTTACAATTCAAAATTTTTAATTTTCTAAAATAATTATGTTGGTATCTGCTCCAAATTGTGTTTAATTAGTTGCTATATTTCACTTTGCAGTCCTCTCTCCTTTGCTTTTAGGCAATGTTCCTTCTAAGCTGTGTGAGTACACCACCTGTTAAGTTAGCACATACAAGATTTAAAAGGTATATGCTTATAATTTAGAAGGGGCACATAAACTTTAGACTGTGTGCATATATAGAGCTATAAAGTTATCCAACCATGTCCATTTTAAAAGGAAAGAGTTGTTTTGCTTCGAGAACTTCACAATGAAAACACTAAGTTGATTACATCTTGTGTTGCACGATAAAACACCAAGTTAATTACATCTTGTGTTGCGCAATAAAACACTAAGTTAATTATATCTTGTGTTGCGCAATAAAACACCAAGTTAATTACATCTTGTGTTGCGCAATAAAACACCAAGTTAATTACATCTTGTGTTGCGCAATAAAACACCAAGTTAATTACATCTTGTGTTGCGCAATAAAACACCAAGTTCATTACATCTTGTGTTGCGCAATAAAACACTAAATTACATCTTGTATTGCGCAATGTATTTTTTAAAATGTTTTGAAATAATTGTGTGCAGTTTTTCCTTTTTTATAAATTAATTCAACTGTGCTTATGTTAGCAAACTAGAAATGGTCATTCTTCAACGCGCATTTACTTTATATACTCCAGATGAACTATTGAATACATTATCTCCCTTTAAAATGCTCACATTCATGTCAAAATACCTGCTTATTTCTATGTTTTGACCTGCGCCTTTTACAGTGATGTGCAATTCTATTTTATGATGGAGCTTTGAAATAAATAAATTGATGGCTTTGTAGTCTGACTTGTTTTTTTTAACATGCGTTGAGTGGCCTGTGTGCATTGTGCGGCCCTTGTGCGGCCCTTGTGCGTTGTGTGGCCCATTTGCCTTGTGTGGCCCATGACATTTAATTTATCTACAGGTACTTGGTTTAATAAGTGATAAACTCACATAACTCATCTAAGCCTGGGTCACTATTTTAAAATGTGGGGTTTTTTTTAGCCTTGGTCATTTCTTTTGTGTCCTCACCTTTCAAATGTTTCTTAACTGCTTCCAAGTCATGGTATTTAATTGGAAAAAAATGTTTGACAATGACTCTACAGCTATTTAAACTGTTTTGATAAATATTAACACAGGAAAAGCTCAATGAATCCTCAACTACACATTATTTATCAATTTTTTTATTCTCAAAAAAATAAAAATGCTCCTAATCAAGAAGATGCCCTCAGTAAGATAGATTGTAGAATTTCTTCATGAAAGGAAACCCAAGACAAAACTTGAACAATGCAACCAAAGGCTTTCAATGAACAGTCATATGGGGATTCTAGTGGTTTGGGGTTAGACTGCTGAATAACATAAACTTTTTAAAAAAATGTTCCCAATATTTCCAAATCAGTTTAATGCTGTAAGAGCTGTTGAAAAGGTACACTGTCTTCTTGATATGCAAGAAACAATTATAATCAAGTCAATAACATTAAAGCATTCATATAATTATTTGTATTTTATATATATATACATGTACAAAACAGTATGAGTTAAATACCTGGTACTGTATAACCATTAAATTTATGGTAAAATAGAAGGCCAAACCTCAGTTTCAGAAATATACATACAAAGCAGCAATCAGATAAATATATACTTAATTTTTAAATTTGCATTAAATTTTTAAACAAGTGTTTTTTTATAAAATCAAATAGATGTGAATAAAACAAGTCCAACTAAAATTCTTTCCCTTAGAGTTTAATCTACTTCTGTCCGTCTTTGGCCCTGGTAGGTTTTTCAAAAAACAGCTTATATTTGTTATATTTTTCACAGCATCCAATAAACAGCAAATTCTTATTTTATAAAGAGGGGGGGAAAGACCAAATCAAATTCACCAAATAAGAAAATGTACGCCTTGAACACCTGTTCATAGTAATATATAAGCAGCAGTAGCCAATGGTTTATTTCATAATGTAAAGATTGGTTCATATTGCAGGGGTGGAGAAAAGGCCATTACCAGATATGTATACAAAAATAATTGAAATCTGCAAGGAAATAGTCATGATGTAGCATCCACACTATTCAAATCAACCATTATGCTGCAGTCCATCAAACACCTCAACTTATTTTCTGTGGTCCGGCAGTGCCAGTTTTTTTTTTAATGGATCCATCACAAAAATGTTTATGGAATAACTTAAAACAAATCTTAAGTAACTAATGCCAAATTTCATGAGTAATGTAAATCAATAATTAAGCTTTAGTCTTGGTGGTCAGAGCTCATTATAATTAGAAATAAACCAGGATTCTTTTGGCACCATGGAAATGATGCAGGCCGAATATTGGTGATACATTGCGAGAAATTGGCATCATATAATGATGCTACTCATCTATTTATTAGGTCTTTCAAGCCACTTAATATATAATAGTTATTTCACCACTAACAATGTCCTAAATAAATAGTACGTGCTAATTAAGAAAATATCTTTGCCATTGCAGAAAAAAATTCTATGCCCTCTGTAACTTATTTCAATTTCTTACAACAGAAAACTAGTTTGGAATTGTTATGTCTAATAATAATGATTATTATTATGAACAGAATGAAAAACATGAACTTAAAACTAGTAATATGTTAATTACTGAAGGGGGAATGAAATGAAATCAGAAAGATTTGCATAAAAAGTACCTGTGAAACATTGTCATGGATTTCATTATATACAAAAATATGATGATAGTGGCAGTCACAGCAGTTCATATTCAGTGGCTCACATCATGTGTTTATGATGTCAAAAAATTATGTTAAGAATAGGTTGTAAAATTGAAATTCTCTCAAATTACTGTAAATTTAATCAATTCAATGACATTGTACAAGTTTAATGGAAACTGTTTAGATGTGAGCAAATAGTTGCACACAAAACTTAATTTGCACCACAAATATTTTTAATAATGATGATTACCACTGGCATACTTAATGGTCAGGTAACAGCAATGTATTTATTGTAAGCCTAGTATCAAATCGAAAAAAAAAAAATTCATATTTTGTTGAAGAGTTTAAATGTACAGTAATAGATACTGATATATAATATAGATAGATAGATATACATATATATGTAAATATAACCTAGCTTGCTACTGTTTGAAATAAGAGCCAGTATAGGCTATAAATGAAACATATGTTTCGAGCTTTCACATCTATATTATCATAATTATTATGAAGATAAATGCTGCCAGCACGCATCAGAAAAAAACAAATAGCGAAACACATATTAGACCAAACAAAAAAAATGACAGCCTCGATTTATTTCAATGTTTCATTTATTCAAATCAATTAAAGCATCGCTCACTTACAAAAACATCAGCATTCATGAATCCAAGGTTTTTATCACCAGCTTCTACATTTTTACTCTGTCCCCCCCATTTAAAAACTATAATACATTTACAAAATTTATGTGGAAAAACTTTAAGATAAGATATTATTACTAGCACGACAGATTACAAGAGATTTTAGCAACATTTTTAATGAGCATTAAATTCAACAATTCAGAAACTTCCTAACAAGTGCTCCTAAATCTAGAATATGCATGGCCAAGTACTATTACTAATAAATCTCTTCACTAACTCTGCAATACCTGCCCCATTGATCTCTACCCTTATTTGGAGTGTACAGTTTGGAGTGTACAGAAATGCATAAGTCTAAGAAATGTCTATGCTAGCTATAAAATTTAAATTGTGAGAAACAGTAAGTACTAGATCTAACTCCATTTCATTCAGAAATCCTGTTTCAAAAAAACTCAAATTTTATGACTTGTGATATTGGTCATTTTCTCCACTTGATTCTATCCGTAATTCCATAAGTATGGATTATTGAATACAAACCATTAGAAACAACTAGGGGGAAAGTATTTACACATTTTGGTTTAAAAGTGAAAAATAATTATGCAGTGTATTATTAATTTATCCATTATGCTCAGTACGGTAGCTATATCCAACAGAGTCCATTAGATTAAATTCTGTTTTGCTTGACTCCTTAAAGTTGGTTAGAATGACATCCAAGGACATCAGTTAGCTAAAATGTAATGCTATTCTAAAAAATAAAATTATTAGAAAGGATGGCTGTAACTATTGATAGTAGAATAAACACAATTTTTTGTATACCATTCCAAGGACCCAAAAACTAATTATAGATCCATGCATTAAAACATTTGTTTTCAACAGTAAAAAAAAATTGACTAAAAATAATAATAAAACTCTTGATTTAGTTGATTTAAAGGTTTTTCGGATTCTTTCACTTTCATTGTAATTAATAAAATATATTATAAACTAAAACACAGAATACAAAATTTCCATGTAAAAAAAAAAAAATTTTCTTGGAAGATGCCTAAATATCAAATAGCTTGGGCCATATGATGTATATAGTATTACAGGAAAAGGTGGGTTTTATTGAAAGGTCCATTCGGCAAAATTATGAATGTATACTCATCTTTGAACTTTAATGTTGTGTACCAACTGGGAAGTACAATTTACAAACATGTACAAACCATAGTAAAT